TTTGTAAAATATTACACATTGGTAGATTCTAAAATAGAGTGAACCTCGGAACAAAATTAAGGGGTTATTAGTTTACACTCCTTATATATTATTTACACTCCAATGAAACTGTCTTAAATTCTTAAGATTTTAAAAAATTAATTAAAGATATTAACAAAATAAAATCGTTCTTATAATCTCGATTAAATCCTAGGTTTCCTTATCTACATTTGATTTTTTGGTTATGGTTTTAAAGATAGATGGTAGGTATTATTTGTTACTATAATCTCGATCGCATCTTCCATTAATTATTTGCCTAAACAACTAACTGAATTTAATACATTTTTATCGAAATTTTAGGAATATTAATCACTTACAGTCTTAAATTCTTAAGATTTGAAAAAATTAATTAAAGATATTAACAAAATAAAATCGTTCCTATAATCTCGATTAAATCCTAGGTTTCCTTATCTACATTCGATTTTTTGGTTATGGTTTTAAAGATATATGGTAGATATTATTTGTTACTATAATCTCGATCGGATCTTCCATTAATTATTTGCCTAAACAACTAATTGAATTTAATACGTTTTTATCGAAATTTTAGGAATATTAATCACTTACTATTTGCATATATATATATATATATATATATATATATATATATGTATATATATATGTCCTTAACACACTTTCAAAACTATTTAAATATACAACAAACACAATAAGATGATACGTAATTTGCACACGCTGCGGTACATCGTCGCTTACTAAATAGTAATCTCATTTTTTATTATTATAAATATTCAAACATATAACATCCTCATCGTACAATTAACACTATATAGACTTCCATATACATTCTAATCACACATGCAAATGGGTTATATAAAGACTTACTATATTTAAAACCTATATTGATTTTTCTCAAACAAACATATACTATTTTTTTAATAAAAATATAGTCCCGCGGTGTACCGCGGGTCAATTCCTAGTTACATATACATATTTAAACTTATATTTTCTTTATTTTAAACTTATATTTATTATGTGAATTAAAGCAAAGTGAATTACAAATAATTTACTTAATTTCATTTTCTAAAAATCAGAAAAACCAAACCTTGAAAAGCTAAACCGAAACTGCACGCAAACTAAAATTATCACAGTCCACACGGACCACACCTACAAGAAATGTCCGCTACAATATATGGGCCTATACGTTAAACCCATTAAGGGCCTATGGTAGATTATGATTGGGGAATGTTCACATGAAATAGGCCCATTTCAAGAAAAAGAGCTTGAATAGTAGATAGTATATATAAATATTTATAAGTAACTAACCCCCATGTAAACCAAGACAAAATAAAATTAAAAGTTTATTGATTTAGAAATGATGTGAAGGTCTTGGTGGAAGTGGTCATGTGGACTAAATAAAATACAACAATGTTGATTCTAACGAAGATATACGATTGCCAATTATCGGAAATATCGAAATCATACGTTATATACACTCCATACCCATTAACTAATTTAACTAAAACATACTCCCTCCGTATTTTAATAATTGTCGTTTTAGAAAATTTATTTTTTTGAATTAGATGTCGTTTTCAAATTTCTATGCAAAATTTATTATTTTTTAATGTTTTATGACATCATAAAACATTAAAAAATAATAAATTTTGCATTGAAATTTGAAAACGACATCTAATTCAAAAAAATAAAAATTCTAAAACGACAATTATTAAAATACGGAGGGAGTATATAGTTACCGACATCTCACCGTCTTCAACTAATTGTGCAATTTTTCCTTTTTGTGACTATAATATGTTGATATTTTGCGTATAAACCGAAAAACAAAAATTTTACAATTTTCTTTTAAGAATGATAAAATGATCCAAATGGTGTTAATTTTTCTTATTTTTGGATCCAACTTAATGGTCTACTGAACAAATTTACTATCAGAACAAGGTGTAAAAAGTTTTGGAAGTGTTTGAATAATAATGACCAATAACAGAAATTTACCCTCAAAAAGAGGATTAAGAACAGAAAAAAGAAAAATTATGTGAGATATCTAAAGAATTCAAATTGGTAAATCAAAACGACTTAATTTAGATAATTCTATGGGCTTGTATTGGGTATAATATAATATCTATAAATAGTAAGTTAGTAAATACAAAAGATATAAATATAGAAATGAATATACGATATAATGATTAGTATATTTTCACATCTTGAATGTTAAAAAGAGTGTGGTTCATCGTAAACCGGTGTGGAGGTAGACAAGCACAAAGCACGCAAATTTATTAATTACAATTTACGTAATGTTGTTTTCTTGTTGACAAATACAAATCTTTAACGGACCACATTTCAGTCTCCATTCTTCGATGTTTAGAGATTTTACAAAGTAATTTTTGTTTTTTAATCAATTTTTATCTCTTGAATTTTTAGAGTAAAATGGATGTCTAGTTTCTGGAAATTTAAGAGAGATGAATAATGTATTGTTCTTTTTTTTTTTGAACACCAAAAATAATGTATTGTTCATAAAATTCTTTTTGTCAGAGCAAAAAAGGCAACTAATTTCAGTTTATTCTTCTACGTTGTCCGTACAATAATTACCAAGGACTCTTTGAGAAAAAGAAAGGATTATGAGATATTTAGTGATTTAAAAACCATAAATAGAAATTAAGGCATTGAGATTAACAAATTAGTTTCCACAAAATAGAGAAACATGTGCAAACTCGAGCATTTATGCAGACTCGTCTCCCTTTGTTTTATCAATTTGCGAGAATACTTGAATATAATTAAAAAAATCATGGGAAGAAAAGAATTGTTGTTGACATAGTTTTGAGTCTTTTGACCTCCTAGGTCCTAACATTTAAGACTGTACTTTATATCAATTATATATTTGAACAATATGGTGTATAGAACAATAGAAGGACAATGTTTTAAAATATACTAATTCTTAAATTTTGAAAAAATTAATATAATAATTTTATCTACCTATACAAGTTATGACCACTAGATCAAATGTTAGAAAATAGTTAAAATTTAATAATTATATTTTCATCGCACTTGCTATTAAAATTTTGTTTAATATGTTTGGCAATATTTGTTTCGTCCATTTTGAACCCATAAATAGATTCTTGGTGGAAATTATTCACAACATTTATTTATTTGTGATGATTCTTGACTTGATGAAAGTAAACGGGAAAAATCAAAGAAAACAACATAGAAGATATACATGTGTGTTAATTATAAATATATTCGAGTGGTTCGAATATGGACGTTATGGCAGAAATCGTAAATATTTACAAGTACAACTTTTCATCGTAAGAATCCATACATTACACGTTAATAGAGACACATGGTTAAGGACTAATTATAGATATACGAACTTAAAACATATGGTCAGTAATCTCCTATATATAGACACATCTCTGTAAGGAAATATTATCTAAAATAAAGGAAGATATCAAGTTTTGAAGGAGGCGAAGGAGAATAAAGAAGAGTCATGACTACTTTGTCTAAGATTCTATGTGTGTTGATCATTCTTCTTTTATGTTTCTCCTTTCGATATTCACTTCATGGTTTGTGTGTCTCTCTCTCTCTACCCACACTATCTTTTTTTTTGCATCTAAAAGAGCAAAATCATAAAGCCTATATAGCCTTTAAAATTCAATACTCAAACCAATTTAAAGCATAAAAAGGAAAACCAATTTCTTTAATATATATTTTACATCTAGTTTGCATGCATGGTCTTACTAAAAACAGTGCTCAAGTGTTAGCAAATAATAACCTAATTGTTTGTTCTTTGTTTTCTTCATCATTAGAAGATGGCAATCAACAGTCAAGCCGTGACTTCGTTTCAACTGCTAAGGTATATAATACAAATTAATCTCTATTCAAAATCGGTAACTTGAGAGACATCATCATGATTGTAGTTTCATTTTCATATTTTTACTATCAATCATGTATATTCAATTCTCCTACTTCCATGAAAAAACAAAATAATGTTTGTTTTCTTCAATGATTACATCTTTCACATAAAGTTTTAAATTCTTACTATTTCTCGAGTTATCAAAGGAAGTTTTTGTGTCGTTTTCTTTCCTATAAGCAAACATGTTATTCACCAAAACCGTTGGATAACTGTTAAAGCAGGCGATTAAATATGGTGATGTGATGAAGAAGATAATACGAGGAAGAAAACTGATGATGACAAGTGGAGAAGAAGAAGAAGCTGAAACGACGATGAAGAGAGGAAATACAGAGACAGAGAGAAACTCAAGCAAAAGTGTTGAAGAGGATGGACTTGTAGCTTACACTGCTGATTATTGGAGAGCTAAGCATCATCCTCCCAAGAACAACTAATTCTAAAATAATAATAAGCATGCCAGCTTTTACATATGAATATCTCTATAGATATATAACCTTATATTATATAAAGTGAAATATGTTTTGTTATATGGTGTGTTTAATTTGCTTTTGAAGTTTATTTTTTACGTTGTAACGGCTTATTTAATGGTTTACATGTAAACCAAAATTTTGAACGTCCTTTGAAGCTTCTTATGTTATGTATATGAATTATGACTTCTCTTTTTTTTTAAAACCAATTATTATTCTTAAATTAAGAAGAAAAAAAACTGAAATGATAGACGCAACTTCTTAGTAATATAAAAACAAGAAATATGTAAAATAATTTCGGATGACAAAAAAAAAAAAAGTAAAATAATTGTTTTTGATGTAGTCTAAAAATGTAAGAATCACAATTTAGAGCTTTATTTTTTCATAATAATTGTACATTTAAAAAATGTATGCGAAAGTGAAAAGGATCCAACCAAATAAGCCTCCACTTAAATTTGCATAACTGAGTTTTTTTTTTTTTCTCACTATACACTTTTGATTGAGTGACCAATTTTTAGAACATTGATATTCAAAAAGCAATCACGTTGAATTCAATATGCAAAAACGTCAAGACTTGGTAGAAAAATGTTGAAAAGAATTCATGATGAAAGAAATAAACAACAACTAAATTGGTGTTATTCTAAAGATTGTTGAATGTTAAATATAAATCACACCACATGGCAAATAGTTCTCTCGTCGAAACACGCAATGGAGTACATGAAATTCGCCAACTGAGTCGGATGACGCGGATCAAAGAAAATATGAGTAGAATCTGGTGCCTTACACGTTTTCGACCTGCGCTTGCAACTTGAAGTTAAACTTCCATCATAATCTAAAGGACAACACGGGCCTGTCGTGTTCAATAGATTCGAACTATATTGATTGGTCGAAGGTCCTCTTAGTCCCAACATGAACTTGAAGTAATCAGAGTATAAAAAAGATGTGTTGTGTAATTTTTTCTTCATAACAGGGAGGCTTCTTCTAAGCTTATCGTTGTAAATGCTTATAGCAAGGTTTACACGTTCGTTGCAGCTTCCGCGTGGCACGGTCTTAGCTACCATATTTGGGTAACATCCTAATGGTTTAATGTTGTTGATGAAGAACTTTCTTGCTCCTAACTTGTGCAATTTCTACAACAAAAATCAAAATCTTTAGTAGAATGTATATATCTTGATTAATATTATTACACGAAAGTAAATAATGTAATGCTCAAGGAATTTTTTTTGTGAAAAGCCTTTTATATACCTCTATTTTTTTCAAGAACTTATGAAGAAGCTTGTCTGCGAAATCATTCGCATCGGTTAACCTAGTATAGAAGAATGCATAGTCGTTAACCCCAATCACGGTCATGAACAACGAGTGAGCCAAGTGTTCTCTCAGCTCATATGGCGTTTTGAAATTCGTCTTCAAATGCTTTTCGATGGTTTCTTCGAACATATCGACTTGTTTGCTCAACGAGAGACATTTTCCCTGCTCATAAAAGTATCAAATAAACCCATTAGCTTTTTTCGAAACCGAACGCAAAGATCTTCTTTTTTTTTTTTTAGAATAGTAAAACTTACAGCTATCTTTCCTGTGAGACGAAGAATCCCACAACCAGCAGAAGCATAGTTCATACCAGTTGAGATAGTGTCCTTCCGGTCTTCAGATAATCCCAAATAAGCAGGAACCAAAGGAAGCTTATAATAAATAGCTGCATCAAAAAACATACAACACAACGTTTAAAACTTTCAATAGTTTAGACTTTCAATAGTTTTAAATTTTGGATTAAAATCTATTTATAGTTATTTTTTAAATCACACGACCTAGACCATATGTCCTCCTTAAAGAACAATTAGAAATACAAAACGTTCATAATTCTTTTTACTCTTACCAATGTAATCAGCAATTGTTTTGCCATTACTAAAACGTCCGGTAGCTTTGCCTCCTTCAAAGTCCGAACCATAAGGTGGATAATTCGCTCTAATCATTGTCGGAAGATGATTATTGTTTCCTGGATCAACCAATGAATCTCCAATAACATAAAAAGCGGGAAAGTTCCCGCCAAAAAGCACGGCTTCTTCTTTTGATGGCTTCGAGTAAATCGTGGAGACATTGAGAAAAGAGAGGAAGATCAAAAGAAGGTATGACTCTAGAGACGAAGGCAAACCCATTTCTTTATTTTTTTCCCCGGTTTAAGAGAAAAGAGTTCAAAAGAAATAAACCCTGCGAAATGAAAATCATGATGAAGAAAAGTTAATTATAATCGATTTAGAAAAAAATCAAACGCACTAAAAATAATAAAAATACACCATGCAAAAAAATAGAATTTACTATTGTGTAAGCTTAATCAACTATACAAAACTTCCAGTTCCCAGGTACTTCTATCAATATTGTTAGGCTTTTAATCATAAAAAAAAATCTTATGGAAATTTATGAAATGCACCAAAAGATTTAGTAACGTCACTACCTTATCACACGATACAGTAATCACTTGTGTTTGAATTTGGAGCTGCGTAAGGAAATGAGAGCACTAGATGAATAGTAGGAGGAAGATACTGAATAGAAGTGAAATGAAAAGTAAAAAAAAACAGAATCTTTAAATAAAAGGAAGATGGAGAAAATAAATGCTATTTATAGCATTAAATAATAAATATAGAATGACTGAGTTCATACCACATACTTTGGATCTTGATAGAACCCGGAGCCGAATAGTTAGTGTGTCTGAAGATTTCAACAACTCTTGTTTTGGATACGAAACAAGTGAGTGATTAAGTTAATATATACCACATACCTTGGATATGTTCCTTCATATATAGAACTAGGAGCCAAATTACAATCCAAGTATATAACTAAAGGAGAGAATATAGCATTAGACAACAGAGGTAACATATATTTATTTGTCTGGTTTTCTAATATCAATTACCGATTTTCTAATTTTTGTTTCGACTAAAATTTATGGTCTGGTTTTCTATTTCTTTCCGGTTTATGATATATGCACCACCTTGTGGTTCAAATTACAAATTTATGGGTGATATTAATATCAAGTCGCATATTTAACATAACCAAAAAATTAATTTAGCATAACAAAATATAATTCATATTAAATGAAAAACGGTTGATATCTTCTATATATAAGAATTAACAATGTGAATTTGTAATTTTAATTAGAAAAAGGCGTTTGATATCTTCTACATACACATATATATTTTTATCATGGTTTTCAGTTGATTTAGCTTTGAATTTATAATTATTTATTTATTTATTTTTTTATTGAAAGGGACAAACTTAAGTAATAAAATACAACATAAAAAAAATAAAAATAGAGTGCTTAATCCCCAAGTATGCCAAAGTGGTAATCTTAAAAGTTACAACAGCAAATTGTTTCAAAGGACTGATATGATGAAAGCAAGAAACAACAACTAAATTGATGTTTAAAACAAGTGTAACAAAAAAGATTGTTACCGACTAAAGTTAATTTTTCAGCACATGGCAAATACTCCTCTCGTGGAAACATGCAATCGCGTACATATAATTCGCCAATTGAGTAGGATGAAACGGATCAAAGAAAATATGAGTATCGGGTGCCTTACACGCGATCGAACCGGGCGAGCAGCTTGTGATTAAACCTCCATCATAAACTTCAGGACAACACGGGCTTGTCACGTTCAATAGACTCGAACCAACTTGATTGCTTGAAGGTCCTCTTAGTCCCAACATGTAGTTGAAGTAATCGGAGTATAAAAAGGAAATCTTGTTGAATTTTTGCGACATACGAGACAGGCTTTTTATAAGCTTAGTGTTGAAAATGCTGATCGCAAGGTTCAAAGGATCGTTGCAGCTTCCGCGTGGCACGGTCTTAGCTACCATATTTGGGTAACATCCTAATGGTTTAATGTTGTTGATGAAGAACTTCCTTGCTCCTAACTTGTGCAATCTCTGCAACAAAAATCAAAATCTTTTTAGTAAAATGTGTCTTGATTAACATTAAAAAAAAAAATTAAAAACATTTGGTTTGCTTTAGGTTTTTCCGATTATGTAGTTGCTATTATTAGTTTGATACTATTTAGTTAAAAAAAATATAGCAATTCTAACTAGAAACTCATTTTGGTTTTGAGATTGTATGGTTCAGATCGCTTTATTCGCTTTATCTGAATTAAATTAATTAATCGTTATATATGACCCAAAACTAAATTGAAAATTGAAAATTCTTTTACCTCTATTTGTATCAAGTAGTCATGAAGAAGCTTGTTTGCAAACTCATTCGCATCGGTTGTCATATTAAAGAAGAATGCGTAATCGTTAACCCCAATTGCGGTCATAAACAACGATTCAGCCAAGTGTTTACGGAGCTCTGACTTCTTGAAGTTCTTCTTCAGATTATTTGCGATGGTCTCCTTGAACATATCGACTTGGACACTTAACGAGAGACATTTTCCCTGTCCATACAAAGAATCAAATAAAACCCATTAGACTTTTTTTTTTTTATATATACCAATAATGCAAAGATTTTTTTGTAGAGTATTAGAACTTACCATTAACTTTCCTGTGTCAGGAAGAATCCCACAACTAGCAGAAGCATAGTTAAAACCAGTTGAAATATTATTCTTTTCTTCTTCCGATAATCCCAAATAAGCAGGAACCAAAGGAAGACCATAATAGATAGCTGAATCAAATAAACATAACAGGACCACTTAAGACTTCTTCAATAATTTAAATATCAGAAATTAATTAATTACTAAGTAACAATATATTTTTTACGTAATTAATCACACGATAGAACATAAATCCTTCTAAAAGCTAAGATTAGTAATGTAAAACGTTACCATATTTTTGTTCTTACCAATGTAATCAGCAATTGTTTTGCCATTGCTAAACCGTCCGGTAGGTTTACCACCTTCAAAGTCAGAACCATAAGGTGAAAAATTCGATTTGACCTTTGTCTCAAGATGGTTATTGTTTCCTGAATCAACCAATGAATCTCCAATAACATACAAAGCCGGAAACTCCCCACCAAAAAGCACTGTTTCTTGTTTTGATGGCTTCGCTAAGTTAATGGTGGAAATATTAAGAAGACAGAGGAGGACCAAAAGAAAGTATGAGTTTAGAAAAGAATGCAAATCCATGTTCTTTTCTTCTTTCTTTTTTTTCCGGTTTAGAGAAAAAAAAAAGAAGAAGAAGAAGAACCCTGCAAATTGAAAAGAAAGATGAAAAAGTTAATTATATATAAAGCTTTTACACATACTAAAAAAAATTAATAGTACAACAAAAAACAGCTAACTAATGTTAACAAACCTATACGAGCCTAAAAATAACATTTCCAACGTTTTATGCATCAAGACACTGTTTAGGACATTGTTTTAGTAATTCATATATACCTAACATTGCGTTGTAAATCTTTATTACTAAAACATAAAACCAAAAAAATTTAGTTGTTTTAAGAGATAAAAGTAGTACAAATAGTTAACTCTATTTTCCAAAAATAAGAAACTGGATTCGTACATGACCGTTGGTGAATTAAAAAAAATGAACATATTCAATTGTTAAAAAAGCATTTTCAATCTATAATATATAATGAAGATTCCTTTACTTCAAAAAAAAGAAAAGAAAGTAGATTTTATTAATTGTTGTGATAGTAATTTATACGACTGTACCTTGAAAGTGGAAGCTATATATCCCGTGAAAGGTTTCTTTGTATTTACGAGACAAAACAAAAGAAGAAATTTGGGACACGATATTTACATATCTAGACAAATGAAAAAATGGACTATTGTATAGTTTTATTAGTTTGCGTGCCTAGCTAATACATCCCATTTATAAATGTGGTAGTTATGCAATGCTTCTTGGCCATTTAATATTCTTATCGCTATCTAATGGTTTAAACGCAACAAGAAAAGTCAATTTGAGACATGCTTCATGGGGCTACAATAAATGTGATTTACTGTTCATCAACTATACAAACTTAGACTTCCCATGTACTTCCATGATACATCTATATTGATTAAGCTTAATATCCAAGAAAAATCTTAGGGAAATTTATGAATTGAACCAAAATAATCAGTAATGTTACCCTTATCTCAGGAGCCCGAAGAGAAGAAAAGTCGGAAGACAAAGCACTTGTGTTTGAAATTTGGAGCTGCGTGAGGAAATGAGAGCATTAGATGAACAATAATGATGAATCATGAAAGTATTAGTAATAGAAATATGATGTAAGAACACTAAAAACCAAGAAAGCTTGAAAATGAAAACGAGTAAGTATAATGAAGTAGCGACGGAACAAACTCACAAAGAAAAAAAATAAACATAACTACATAAGGCAAAAAAAAAAGAAAAAAAAAAGAGCCAAAACCTTCGAAGGAGATGCATAAAAAGAAAGACGAGAAGATAAAGCTATTTATAGCATTGCATTAAATGATAAGAATAGTATATGAGCTTGAGAGGACAATGGTATAGAAAACATGTTTGTAGAAATGTACACATATATGTTTCTTTCTTTCACCTTTTACTTTGGTTAGGAATCAGGACTTTAATGCGTACTCGCCCCAATCACATTTATTCTTGTAAACTCATAGTCATAGACCCTTCGAAAAAAGTCTTGGCCAACTTTTCTAACCCACTACTTTTTTTCTTTTCTTCTAACCTACTATGAAGACCCGGTCAACCCAATAATCCATGAGATTTGGCATGGTCATAATAAACAATCTCCACCTTAGCCTCACACTCCATAAACCTATAAGTCCAAAATCTTGCACTCTCTAGTTACAGAAAGGGACAGAAAATTTTATGCAAACATTAAAACAAAGTAATACAGGAGTCTAGGGTAATCTCAGCCCATGTTGATGTTTTTTTTTTTGGTAAACTGAGGGAGACAGCCCATGTTGATGTTGCTCATGCCAATATTTACCCTTTTTTTTCTTTTTTTTTTAAATGAACCCTTATATAATATATCCATCAATAAAATGAAACAACCGATCAGAGAACTAATAAATGGCGCCTTTGCATTAGAGGTGTCTCAAACCCAAAACCAAATAACATTAGACTCTATTTGAAGCGAGTGTTTATAACTGATGACTTAAATCGTGAGGTGGTAAGTAATTAATAGTACATTCTTTTATATAAATTTTCCCCAAAAGAGTTATTTTTTAACTTGAAATTCGTGTTGTCTCTTTGAAAAGAGAGAACATAAGCTTAATAAATAATAATCGTGTATCTCGGTTTAGCTAGATTTGATGTGGTTCATGTTTCACAACTGATAGAGAACATAAGCTTAATAAACAAAACTTGTAACACAAGATCTACAAAATAATTAACCCATTATTGGATTATGTGTGAACGAGAGTTTTTTTCCTCTTCGTAATACTAGAATGAGTGAAGAATAATTACAAAAGTTTTTACCTCTAGAAAATTTGAAAGGAAATCAAGAGACAAGGGAAGTAAGTAAATCATCACTTTTTTTTTCGTTTTAAATTTTCTCTCCATAAACATGCATATGAATTGTGATTTTACAAATAAATAGTTTTAACACTATTTTGTTAAAAAGTATTTCATCTGTTTACAAAGATTAAGACTTTATGCTTTATTTTAGTTGCAATGTTGGTACTTTTTTCTGGAATACTATTACCAAATACCAATCAATGTAACACTTTTTTTTAATTAGTAAAAAATATTCACTATTTAATTATTATAAATCATTTAAAACAATTAATAAACGAATTAAAGTAATGTACCTACTATTTAAAATCTTTTATTAATATATATGTGAGAAAATCTAAATCATCTTTTTTTTGGTTAAACTTATGAATATTTGACAGATATGTGTCTTATAATGAAGAAAAAAAGTTTATGAAACAAATGTAACATTAAACTTTCACCAAAATCTTAGGAGTCTTTCTTGATTCATTGATTTGTAAATCCATATAGGATTTGGAAAATCCTTATCGATATTGAAATCAAGACTTATGGATTTTGAAATAACATGTTTTCGCCACAGATTTGAATCTTTTTGTCTTTACTTCCAAATCCATATAAAATATACTGTAGATTTTGAAATCCAACCATCATTGAACGAAATAACTCATAATTTTACACCTTTTTTAGTAATTACTATACTACTCAATTAAACAGAAAGAACAACAGTAGAAACAAATAACGAAAGAAAGAAAATGGCGTTGTGGCATAGGAAGATGAGGAGAAGCTTCTTGAAGCCATTAATGGCGGAAACTCCTTGTATTTGCCAGTTTCGTTGCTTTGTGTAGAAGATTTGATGTTAGTGCATGCAAGAGGAAGCTGATAGAAATGAAAAATAAAGTGCGCCTCTGTTTCTCCTCTCTCATTCACTTTCTTGATCTTCACATCTCTTTATTTTTCTCTTTTCTCTTGCTTTTTACTGTTTAGGTCTAGAACCTAGACGATGATAAAAAAAAGTATGAAAACTGCTAAGTCAATTTAAAATAGACTCGCGTCTCAAGTAACAATACAACTCATGCGTCCTATCTATTCAATCTGACGTCATGTCACAGAGATGAAACCCTTGAACCATGTGATAGAAGAAAATACTGATGAAAGAGTCATGTCAACCAATGAGAAAGACAAATACGATAAAGCGATTAAGAGTAACTCCAGCCGAACTGCATCCCACCAAATGTAGTGCAAAACTTGTTCCAACCGAACGGTATAATATGTTTTTAGTGTTTTGTGAACAATGTTATACCACAAAACACTAAAAATATATTATTAATTTATTTGTATTTTTAGTTTAGTAATATATTCAAATTGTTGTTTATCAACTAAAAGACAAATCACTATCAATACTTTTGTGGTGTGGTTTTACTTTTAATAATATAAACATTTAATTATAATGAATATGATATGAAATAATAATTTGGACAAAATTTTTAAACAAAAACTAAATTGATTCAGATTAAATATACAACAAAAAAAAACTAAATTGATGAAGATTATAAATAAATATTAAACATTGAAGACACAAAAATACAAAATTAAAACCAAATAAACATAAGAACTAAATGCAATAAGATAATTTTAAAGGACATAATATAAATTTAAACAACAATCCAATACATGGGAAAACCCTTTCCGCTAATCTTATAGTATTTTCTATTTTTTTTAATTTATCGATTGTAATCTTATATTGATTAAATTAAAATAAGTCAGTTATAAAAATAAGAGAAATTTTTTATTTCATTCATTTTCTCTTTTTAATCATTTTTACCAAAAAAATATTTTTGGATGTTAAGTTGTTTTCTTTATCTTTTCGTATGCATTAATATTAATTTTTTCAAATACAGTATTAAATTTTATATGAGTCAATCATGTCCACGCTCCAAATAAATGGATGTCTATATGTGATATGTGAGATAGAAAATTAATGAAGCCTCCAAAAGAGAAAGAGACTTTGACAAGTGACAACAAAACGCTGCTGTTGCAAGCTTGAATCCTGAGTGGGCTTGACTTGACTTTGGCAAGCTTGAAATTCATGTTACACACAATACCGATAGGAACAATTAAAAGAAAATAAAAAGGCAAAACTACTGAAACGTGTTCCAAAAGAAAATATAGGGTTTAACTAGAATTCATAAGTAGAAAATCTAATATAAAAATACTCGTATGATGTTAATAAATAAGAGAAAGTTTCAAGAAGCGAAGACATATCATGTGTTTGTTTATAAGGAGGCACATAGAGAATCCATCATCGATGGAGGAGAAGAAGAGCAACATAAAGAGAAAGATTGCTTCGTCTTCTTCAGAGAGAGAAATAAAAAGAAGATCGAAGTGAATACACAGGAGATGATGCATTATGGAAGAGAATTGAAAGAGAAAGCAAAAGAAGAAGAAGAGAAAGGAGGTGATCATTGAGATACCCAACGACGATGTGTAAGAAGAGATTATGGTGAGGCTTCCAGTGAAGGCATATACACGATAAAGTCTAAGTCTTTCAAGGAGAGATACATGTTGCATCAGAGAAGCTGGTTTATGCCAAACATTACTCTAAACCCAGCCACAAGATATTCTCAGACACTCCCTTTGCCAGGATTCAGCGAAAGCATTATTCTCTCTCCTAGGATTTAGAAAAGACTACATCACATGAACATACAATGATACAAACTAGTCTGGTTACATAACAATAACGACAACAACGGATGGCTTTATTGGTTCTGGCCAGAGAAGACCAGTTAGTTGCTTTTGATCTTCACACGGAGGTGTTTCGAATAGTTCTAAATCCGATTAATGATGCATCATCAGTTTATATGCAAATGGGAAGCCTAAATGATGACCGCGGTCGTGTGTGGATTTCAGAGACAAATGGAGATGGTATGCAACATGTTTGGAGGCTCTCTAACCACAATACTAGAGGAGCATTATTGAAAATGGACAAGATGTTCTCCATTGACTTAAACAGGATTACTTCCACTTTGTTTGATTTGATCTTCGTGAGTACTTTCCTTCGCTCCTCAAACTTATGGCAATTTCCAAGAATGGTGACAAGGCAATGCTCTCGGAACCGCGTTCTCAAAATCTCCTCCTATTTTCAACCCCTAAACTCTACTTCCATTCACAACCACATCTTTTCTTTTTCTCCTCCTCATTTCAGTAACAATGTCCTTCTTTCTTACTTCCCAAGTTTAGCCTCTCTCCCTTAGTGATTTTCTTTTGATAGTGATATAGATAAAACTATTGTTTGATATTTCCGGACCAATTAATCAAATTTCTTGTTGTATATTTGATTCAAAGTCACTCATACCACTATATATGTGTAAATCTGCTTATATGCAAATATGTGTGGATAAATTAATATTAAAAAATTTAAATGACAATATTTTGGATCAACAATAGCATATATATGTATAGTGTGATTATATTTTTTTGGTGCCAAATCATTGAAATACGGTCAATAGTTTTTATTTTTTTAGTAACCCGGATAGTAATACAATTAATATCGTTGTCAAATAAAGATTTCATTGATGAGTCTTACAATTAATCATGTCTAGTTCTGAGTTTTTTAATTTTCCATCTTTTTCTTATTTGCTGTTGAAAGAAAAAAAACTACAGCCCAATATTGTGGCCTTGTGGGGCTGTGCACAATAAAATCTTTCAGTGGTCGATGTTTTGTATCTGTGTTTTTTGAAAATCTTTTTGAAATGATATAAATTCTTTCACTCAGGAGTACTATGCATCAGGTGTTTTTCGAAATATTGATTTGCTTTCTCTCTTTCAATTTTTCGTTTTCACCATTAGGCCCTACCTTTCCTCCCTCATTTGTCGCCACACTATCAAAGATTTAATACCATTACTGTCTGGACCACCTTATTCCCATTCCTTTCAACCTTTTCTTTTACTAACATTTTTCTA